CCCCAAAACCCCAAAACCCCAAAACCCCAAAACCCCAAAACCCCAAAACCCCGATACAGGTTTTTAGAATTGAGTTAAAAGTTATATATTCTCATATTACTCGTTATCCCCTGATTGCATAGCTCTTCTTGATCATAATGCAGTCAGTGCTGATGTAGCTTCCTGGACCCACACCGTTGTTGGTTCCTTTACCTGCAACATAGTTACCAAACTGTCTTCTACCAGCTCCAAAGCTATGAGAGAAAGATTTAGGTCTTTTGTCTGATAGATTATAATCCCCTGGGCCCGGAGTATCATGGTCTAAATATCTCTTGATTTGGTGGTTTTGTTTAATCTTTCCTCTTCTTTTGTCAGCCTTTTGTGCCAGTCTCTTCAAGTTTTTAACCTCTGAGCCCATGTTGTCAAATTCAGAATCATAGTTTGGCTCATTAGGGTATACATTCTTGAAATTTTGGCCGTGAAAACCTTTGTTGTAAGGGAACCTTGGAGAAGTGGCCGAGAACCCAATCCCTACAGCATGAGGCATCATTGATTTCGGATGTGAAATCGTATTCGGCCTTTTCACGTTGTAGATATCTAAATCTGCGTACTGAGAATTGCTGTTTTGGAGCTTCTGAGCGAGGTTTGGCTCATGAAAACGGTTAGTTGTTGAGCGGAAAACTGACCATTCTTTACCCTTCTTTGATTTCTGAGCATTGGTCAGAATTCCAATCTCTTTGTTTGTTTCAGAAGCTTTGCTAGAGTACTCTCCAGGCCCAGGCCCTTCTTTGGCTTTAAAGAACCCATCGCTGAATCTAGTTGATTTTGTGGAAAAATGATTTGTTTTGTTACCTTTAGGACTTTTAGCTCTTTCTTGTCCTAAAGGCACTGTTTGAGTTTTGTTCGCAAGAAAATGGGCTGATGACATGTCAATATATTGCCCTGGCCCTGGAGAATGCACCTTAGAATTCTTCTTCAGTCAATTCCTTGCTTCTGTAGAGTCAAATGCATATTTGGTAGGGTTTCTTCCTGCAAGTTTATTGAAGTTTTTCTTTTTGTTTTGGTATTTACCCGGGTCAACCCCACTGATAATATTCGTTCCTTTCATGTAGGGAGTTTCTAATATATTATCCCAGTGTCCGTTTCTCTTGGTGCTGGTCATGAATCCTCTGCCATTCGGGTCGACTCTATAAGAGTGCGACCTGACATGCAGAGACTTTTTCTTCTTTTTGTCGATATAGCTACCAGGGCCTGGAATCCCATTATCGTCTTTAGTACCCTTACAGTTTGGAACTTTTGATTTAAACATGGATGATTTTGCAGTCACAGCTCGGTCTTTCTCAGTTTCTTCTCCAATAAATTCCTTATGGTTGTAAACTCCAGGGCCTGGGTTGGAAATTGTCGGATCGCTGAATATTTCTCGCTTCTTTTCTCTTTTAGAGAAGTCAATAACTCTGTTATGAGTTTTAGTAGCTTTATCATCAGGGTTATAATTAGCTGGGCCTGGAATATCTCCATTTTTGCCTGAATAAGAGTTTGCAGGCAGCTTTCGCATCGGAATTGATGGAGGCTTTGACTTTGGAGGCACCACCATTGACTTATGCATTTTCTTTTTGTATTTATCCTTTTTATTTTAACAAATCTGGCTTTTGATTCCATTCGATTTTATTTAAAATACGAACCAGGTCCTGGATTGTAAAATGAGCTTGCTGTATTGTACACTGTAGAGCCAGGAGCTATAGGAGCAAACCTTGCTACTTTAGTGTGGAAACTATTGCTCTGGTTAGCTGAAGAGACACGGTTCTCGTTCACAACGTAGTTGGCCTGATAGGTTCCAGGGCCAGGCTTATTATCAACCAGTTCAGTGGCATCTCTTTCTTTAAGTGAATTAAATGGTGCGGTGGCTACTTTTCCAAACTCTTCACCCTTTCCATTAGGCTGTTGAGGGTCATAAGTTCCCGGAGCCACGACATTGGGAGTGTTGTCTTTCCAGAATTCTGTCTTTCGTTCGCTTCAAAATATGTTAAAGGACATTTGTTTTCTTAAATTTTAATTTGTATAATCTACCAATTTTATTTGAATTTGTAGGGGTTTTGGGGTTTTGGGGTTTTGGGGTTTTGGGGTTTTGGGGTTTTGGGG